TGCCTTGTCTGATGATCCAATGTGAGACTTCATTCATCAAGATTTTCTTTGTTTTATTCTTTATAGCTTTCTCGCCCCCAAGCATAGTTGTAGTATACACTTATCTTCTACTCGCCTGGACCCCTGTAAAGTCTTCGAAATGGGCTGCTACTAAAACTATTACCAGAAAGACTATTATGTTTCGAATCGATGTTCGATAAAAAGCGTCAAAATGTCTACTTGATAAATTAGATTGCCAGCCATTTGAGAATTTTATTTTAATCTCTTTGAAATGTTCATACCTTATATTTTTCATGGCAACCTTATTTTAATATCTTGCTGTATCTGTTTTGCTTTCTGTATAAATCTTTACTTGTTTCTAGGTTGTTTTGTTACAGTATTTTCCACAGCTATAAATAGTTAGAACTTTTTCTTGTCTTCATCAGGAAAATCTATGGAATGCATGGATAACAATCTCAGATCTACGTGACACGTCACCAAAAAATGTCACAAATTGCAATTGCTGAGGCAAAAGTTAAAACTAGCCTCCATTCTCAATGGTCAAGTAAGCTCCATTCCTGGTTTCTACTTTATATTGCAGAATTCTGTTGGAATATTTAGCCGCAAAATTATTGTATAACATAGGAATCTTCTTCATGTTTATAGCTTTAATTGATGTTTTTTTTCCTTTCGTCAACATTTAAGATTCAACATTCAAAATTTTATGTACATAACATGTATGTTAGCTATAATCCATCTGTATTTAACAATTACCACTTCTCATTACAACATTTAGCATTCAACTTCCTAAATTATACTTTACTTTTTGCTCTCTATAAACTTTTTTACCAATAGCTTCTTCTACATGTTTCATCTCGTCACACTATCAATAATCAAATTATAACAATTCTACTATATTTAATCATGTATATCCACACTATTAAATACATAATGAAAATACAGCACGTGCATTGCACGTGCCTAAACTAGTTATAAAAATAAAAGACTTATAATAGATATGTTAAAAAACCAAGAAATAATCCTAGACATTTCGCTAATAAATGCCCCAATAAAAATAAAAGTAGAGAAAATATAGCTAAATTTATGATAATTAAATAAATACAGTGTAATATTATAGAATTATCTGATAATGAATCTTGTAATTCAATAGATAGTATTTACACAAATAAAGAATTAGACAATTTAAAAAATAGTAAGTAGTTCAGAAGATAGTTATATTAGTCTAGAAGAATTAGATTTTTCAATACTAGACATAAAAATGATGAATATAGAACAAGAATATGTTCATGAATGGATTAGAGGACAATGATCAATGATATATAAATGTAAAATATACCCAGGACTTAAAAATAGAATGTAATTGTTTTTCTTCAAAAATCCAATGTAATAATTGTTTAGAAATTAAAGAAGAAGTTCATAATAAAATTAAAGACTAGAGTAAAATCATAGAAAGATTAGAAGATAGGATAACAAATACAAATAATAGAATAGATAAAATATACGAACATTAGAAGAAATACAATATAAGATTAGAAATTTAGAAACAAAAGGAAAACAACTCATAGATAATTACACATAAAATAATTAGTTAGAAACAGAAAATCAAGAAAAAATAATTTGTCAAATATCAAGAATAAAGCCAACCAATAGTTTTAGAATACCCATAGAAGTACAAATAAATAAAACGGTAAACTAAATTTAGTAGCTTTCGTTGACCTTGTTTCTAGCACCGTAAACATTGACAACAGATATCGGGTCCACTCGCGTTCTCTCAAACTAATTCCAATACTCGTGGAATGATTGTCAATCGATAATAAAATAAGGTTTGAATGTGGGAGAAGCTTTATAATACGAGACAAAAATGTTCGTACTCCGACGAGATATATGACATAAATTACACTATAATAAACGACCAACTAAGAGTCAAACTTTAAATCAAGATCACTCATCAAACACTACAAATCAAAGATTAATCCAAAAGGAAGATAATATATGGCTTGCAATCACTATTTTTGTATTACCTCCAAATGACACAAATAAAGGGTATTTATAGTATTTCATGTGAAATAATAACCAACGGATGGGGTGACACTTAGTTTCATCTCCTTTATCGAAGTATTGCATCCAAAGTATCAATTTTGACTCCACTAGCCCATAGAGCATTAAATGTCCCAAAAAGGAGGCGGTCACCCCATAACCTATGCTAACAAGATTGACCTTTCTGCTCATTACAAAAGTCCTATCAATCATTTTAAAAGAATTTCATAAATTCAAGATCTTCAAACGTGGATCGTTATAACCTTAGTTGAGTCTCAGATTCTACTTTGTTAAACCTTGCCACTTCATCAAAGAACTTTCGTTTCGACCTCAAATTTGTCTTTAGTAGAGGGGCTTGTGAAGAGGTCAGCCTCATGAATTGCTTCGGTAAGACTGGGCTTCAGTGGGTTAGATTTGTCTGGACTATGATAGATCCTACTCCACGTGGGACGCCACATGACTTCGGCGGAAGATAATTTGGTAGGTCGGCTAAGCCACGTGGGAGCCGCCTAGGTGGCGAAGTATAACAATAGTTCTCAAAGTTCATGTATGGTTATTCATGTCATACATTTGTCTCAAGAAAAATATCTTTAAAGCATGTTTCCTGTCACGGTTAGGTTTTTGTCCAATACAATATAGTCGTCCCAAGTCTAAGTATAGATATTGATATCATAGTTGGAGTTCAAATTTAAACCTGATACTCGCATCGTATCCTTATGTAATGCTAAAATACCAACGCTCCACGTATTGCTGAAATTTCCTTGTTGAGCCGAAGCAGAGAAAAGCTAAATTGTTGAAGCTCTCATTTTGAAAACAGTTGAAATTTCTTTGTTGAGCCAAAGCAAGGAAGGGTTGAACTGCTAAAGCTCTAGTTTTGAAAATAATTGAAATTTCCTTGTTGAGTTGAAGCAGGGAAAGACTGAACTATATATTGAAGCTCTCGTTTTGAAAATAGCTAAAATTTCCTTGTTGAGTCGAAGCAAGGAACGACTGAACTATTGAAGCTCTTATTTTATTGTCAATAAAGTATGCTTTTGAGAATTGTGCCAATGATTTGATGTTTTTGTACGTTACCAAGGAAAGACAATAGAGGCGTTTCGACTCCCAATACACGTACATCCGTTACAAATTGAATGAGCAATGATGGCCACGTTGCTGTACTTTTAGATCGGCTTGCCGATGCTCATGCGTGGGAGACACGCATCAATTTAAGGCGTTAATAACAAAAACTGTTTGAGTTCAACGCCTCAGATGAAGTTAAAAATGGACGCTTGAAATGAAGTAGATCTAGATCCAATGACTGAGCTTTGTCCTTTTTTTTCCTATAGAAGTCGAAATCATGCTCCTTGTATTAGTTTTTTTTTTTTTTACTTTGAAAAGTCTCCAATTTTCTCCAGCAATCGAAAAACTTTTTCGGTCATTTTTATTTTTCGACGATGTTGCATTCCTAGAGGTTCCTTTTATTTAGATAATTTCTCTAAAACTTTCTATCTTTCCATTCTTTTTATCTTTTGTTTTTTCGATTTCAATTGCTTCCGGGTTGAGTGCTAGCAGTGGGAGGGTCACCATCGCCAGGGTTGAGGAACGGGCTACGCGAGGGGTTGGACCGAGTTATTGGGTAATAAGTAAAGCCCCATAGATTTCGTTCGATGAGAGGTGGGAACTATAAGAATCCCTTCTGGAATGACATCCACAAAGTTGGCTGAAATTTGGGAAAAGTATAGAATCTTGAATTCCATAGAACTCCTAGAGCCCAAAGCCCACGAATGTGCCTGCTATCCGAGGCCGACATGTGTGGCAGTTAGAGAGTTCTTGTTTAGGGCGGGTGTGTGTCTACCTCTGCACCTATTTTTTAGGGCGGTGCTGAGGTTCTAAATGTTAGGTCACATCCATTATTGTCAAATGGTGGAGCTAATTGGCAGGGGCATATTTTCTTTGGAAGGAGACCTTGTTTGGCGAGGACATGCCCCTTTATGTCTTCTAAACACTTTTCCAACCCCGGGTACCTGGGAAGGAGAGTCTAAAGGATGGTACTACATGACTCCTTGGGGGACTCATGCCCCTTTTGTGGTAGGTCTGCCATCCTCAATAAAAGGTTGGAATGAGTCATGGTTTTGGATTAGGGGCAAATGCCAGATGGTTGAGGGGGATAAGGCCCTAGATTGCACTGCGCCGACCCAGTACTTTGAAGCTCGTAACTTTTTCTTTTTTGTAACTTGTACTTTATGTATAACATTTGTCTAATGTTCTTTGTTTTGCAATTTCAAGGACTTGATTTGAACTTTCCTAAGCCGAGTGGGACGTCATCGAAGACATCTATAGACGTCCACAAAGATCATGCCACTTAGACCGCCTAATCGAGTGAAGCAAGTTCTTTCTGGACTTCGAAATCATGGCCTCTAAAGGTAAATTCCGAGGCTCTCTATTTGATACACAAAATAGAGTTTATAATCTTTACTTGTTGTAGATGACTTTGGGAGGAAGAAGTTCCCTACCCATGACATAACTTTGATATTAAGAGCCATATCTATAGTGAATTCTAGGGCTTTGAAGCCTTCTTCTGGTGGTGCAAATCATGTCACGGAAAAGCTAGATTGCCTCAGCAAGGAACATACTAAGAAAAGTGAGGATGAAGGGGCCCATAAAGCTTATAAGGGCAATGGAAAGTTGGAAAAGCCTCAGAAGAAAAGAAAATTAACTCATAACTCCGGCCCTTCTTTTGGTAAGTTCGGCGCCACCATTGCCCCAGCTGCCAAGTAGACCCTATATCTTCCTCCGAAGCTGATGCAGGTTTCGTTCGACACTACTAAGGCCTACATGCCTAAAGTGGCAAGTGAAGAGGCTTCGAAGGACGTAGAGTACACCTCTGAGGGCATAAAAAAGGCACCAGCAGTGATGGAGATGTTGCCACTTGAGGCCCGGAGTGCCACTGCCAATTTCTATAAGTTTTGGACCAAAATGTGGTAGAATTATGTCTCCACCAGTGAGGGTATGGATCTTACGACCACTCTAGTGAGCCAAAATGCCAGACCGTTGGGGTTGCCATGGAGTACCGGAGATTCTAAAAGACATTCACACACAAAAGCTTGCATCGACTTTGCATACACTTCCTTTGACGTTACATTCTTTTCTTTGGTGTTTCACTCATATCCTTATCGTTACTCCATCAAATTTATTTTGGTAGGGTCGATAAGTTCTTTTAAAGTCATCACTCAAATCCATCATATTTTTTCCCAACAGCTTCTACTGTAATTTACATTGTAGATTCGAATTTCGCCTTAATTTTAGTTCTTCAGGCTATTTTGTTGAGTTCATTGACAAATTTATTTGAATTTCTGCTATAATAGTTTTGGAATTTCATTGTGCATTGAACCCACCAACAGTCTTTAAGGTTTGAACCTAGATTTAAGGAAGTGGGAATGGATCTTTTAGCCCCAGGAAGGATGGTCTGAGATGTAATGGTGTAGATGCAAGGGAGAAGATGAAATTTGGTTTGCGGCGTATGACGGGGTGGTGGTGGCAATGAGTGGATGGGTGGATGGTGAAATTTGGTTTGGTGATCGATGACAATGAGTGGATGGGTTTTGGTTTTCTAGGGTGCGTGGGTGGGTGAAGGAATGAGAGGATGTTTAATTTCTCTTTGTTTTGGTTTTTTGTTTAATTATTTTATACAAAATTACTATTTACCCTTTCTAAAACGGTTAAAAATGTGATTAAAGTTAATTTTCTTGATCCACTGACAACTAGAGGATGGATTCAATCCATTTGTACTCCAGCTGTGCGCACTTGAAGGGTTTCCACTAGTGCAACAAATGAAAAATTAGGGTAAAACCTATAATATTTTGAAATGGGATAGTGACTGCAATTATTCCTAAAAATTTCACCAAAAATAAAGTGACAGCATGTGAAATTTACCTCATGTATTTATTAATTTAATAATTGGGCACGAGCAACTTGACTCCGAAATCTAACTTAAATCTGCACACCGCTACACGTCTGTCACTTAATTTAACAAATGGTCACTGAAGGTCAAACAAAATTTTAAATTGGTTCGTAACGTAGTTTTTCACTCATTTAATTGCTGAAGTTTAATAATGTTAACTAATTGATCACTCCATTAATCCCATATCCAACGTAGCAGCCGTTTACCCTGACATGGACTAAGAGCCATTACAGCGATCGATTCTTTTGACTGACCTCCTTTCAACTTTGTCGTGGCCTTTTTACGGTTTATTATGGTGAAAATAAGGTTAGCGGTAAAGAAAAAAATTCGGGATTTTTCTTTTTTGCTGAACGTGATGTTTTTTCTTCCAAAAACTGTGATTTATTTTGAAATCAATTACTTTTACAAGATGTACCCAACAAACATCGATCGATGTCAAGGTTTAATGGGGCTACATCCAGACCGCGATGGATGCTTCTAACAGAGTGATTAATTGCATTATGAAACTGCAACAACCAAAGAATTACTAGGTACTGAAAACTCATGCTACAAAAAAACTTGCAATAAAAGAAGAGCTGTAGGAAATAAAAACTATATAATAAATTAATAATTGCGTAATACATAAAAGCTAATTAAAAAGAACTAGAAAGAAAAAAAAAAAACAGCTGGGAATACTGAGGAAATGATTCAAGTTGTAGAGTTTTTCTTGGCTAAGTAATTATATTTGTTGTTGTGCATCCAAATCCTAAGCACTTTCCGCTTTATGCCTATCTCTTGGCAGAATTGGCTCACCTCAGATTCATCCACATTTTGTATCTTCCAATCAGATTTCTCTGCAAATCCCAACATTTTCTCCCTGTGTTCTTGGCTGAACTTGGTTCTGAACCTCTTTTTTACAACTTCATTTTCTGCCCTTTTTGCCCCCATATCAGGATAACTCTTAAAAGCTGGGCTGGAGGGAAGGAATTGATCGGGCAAATAGTAGCCTTGTTCTATGATTATTTTCTGGTGAAAATTCCTGTGGCAATCGCAAGCTGCGCATATAAGGGCTTCAAGGGAGCTTTCTTCGCCACCCGGCAGGAACTCTCCGCACCCATCTGTGGCCTTGCCACCTATGGCTGCAGCATGGTTCTTGAGGCATTCCATGTACTTGACAATAGCAGATCTTTTATGGGATCTCTTCTCATGTAGGCTTGGTGAATTTGGACAAATATTGGACAGCCTAACTGGTGTTTTACCATGATTTGATGCTGCTGTAATACCATTTGAATCAGAAGTTGTATGAAGTGATGCTTGTACTCGACTTGAAATGCTCATTATTGAGGACTGGAGGTTGCTTGCATGTAGATGAAGGAGAGAAGGATTCTTAAACTGATGATCAAATATTTGCTTAAGGGGAAAGATAGAGTTGGATGAGGAGGTTAGAGGCTCCGTGGGTTTCTTTGCTTTGTTTTCCGAGATGAATATAGTTTTTTTCTTGCTTTGCTTACACTAAACGACACTGTGCTTATGCAAATTCGGTTGCCCTTTTTGTTTGTTTTAAAGTGAGGGAGGGAAGGAGAGAGTACTGCTCAAAACCTGAGGGTAGAATTAACTAGAGAATTTTTTATTTATTTTTAATACATAATATAATAATATTAAATAATAAAACTTCATATCGTTTGATGTTGACTAAAATCAGATTTTTAGTAGATTTTGATAAAAGTTAATAAAATGTTTGATTGAAAAGTTGTGGGTCATATAAGTTATGTAGTTAAAATTAGTTGTCAACTTTGATTTAAATTAAAATTTTGATTTTGATTTCTATCAAACATGGGCTAAATACTAAAAATTTCATATAAAAAAAAATTATTTCAGATGTCCGATCAATGCCACCGCCCTCTACCACCAAGAGCATTTTCAAAAGACTTGTTAGAAATGAAATGTTCTCTATTTTAAAGAATCAATTTTTAAAATAATATTTCAATAGGTTCTTCAATTTAACATTTTAAAGCAGAAAGTGCGTTTGACTCTCTAAATTTAAAGAGTTAAATTCACTCTTCATAATTAAATGCATAAAAAAATTTCATTATTCAATGAGCCATATATTGATCAAATTAAATAGTATATATAAAGAAAATGGAGGTAAATAATATCATAATTTGGATGGGAGTTGGTGAAAATAAAATATTAAAAAGATAATAAATACATATTGGAAGTAATAAATTAATAGCCTGTTTGGTACAGATTCTCATTTTTTACAGTAAATCAATTCTCATTTTCAACCACACATTCTTCAACAAAATAATATTTTCCATCACATCAATAACTTTTCCTTCTTTTTCAACCACACATTCTCCATCAATCTACTATTCTAAACTACATTCTTCCAAAATAATTTGGCTCAAACACACCCCTAATTTCAATTCTTATTCTTTCAACCACACATTCTTCAATAAAATAATATTTTCCATCATATCAATACTTTTTTCTTCTTTTCAACCACACATTTCCCATCATATCACTATTCAAAAATCAATTCTTCTCTTAAAAATCCCTACCAAACACACTCTAAGTATTAAAGATAAAAAGACTGTGGAATATATATATATATATATAAATTTTACTCTCTTAATTGTAAAATATATTATTTAAAAATAGAGTATCTTGGAGATATTCTAATCCCCTCATATTAACAAATTATTTTCTATAAGAATTTATTTTATGTTGTTTTAATGCTTATAAATTTAAATCATATTTGAAAATATGAGTAAAGGAATTAGTAAAGGGGATCGAAAATATCTACATTTAATCGTGGCTTGGCTCTCCCTCGCCTCCAGATATTCTCGATCATGTGGGGATGGTAAGGGCCGCCCTTGCAACAGCTTGCCTGGTTGCCATTTTCATGAAAAGATGACTCAATTAATATGCTACAAGTGACATCAACTTTAAAATGACATCTCCACATTCGTCAACTAGAGTTAAATGTTTCAAAGTGCAAAAAAATTAGTGAAGGGAGAGTAAATCTCGACTACCTCAAAACCCATATCAACTTATGAATAGACCAGAAAGTCAAACACTCCAAGTTGTCTATCAAGGTAGTTACTACTTGCTAATGTCTAGTTGACTCAGAGCTATCTAATTTGTTAATGGATTCAACTATAAACTATTAACTTTGTGTTACGCTGACAACAAACTAACTACTTGAATTTAAGTAGGGGTTATATTACAAGTGTTACGTTGACAACAAACTACTTGAATTTAAGTAGGGGTTATGTTCCAAACATCAGGTTTGGACTTATATTAATTAGACTATTTTTGAGCCTCATTATTTAAAATTCATGTATCTTCAAACTCATTTTTAAACTTTTTTTCTACTTTTAAATTACACGTTTTTCAAGAAAGATTTTTTTACAAAATATAATCTACAAAATGGAGCTCGAATAAAGGTTTAACATCCTGCAAAGCTCAGCAAATGAGTAATTAACTTGGCAGTCATGTCAAGTACCGTCGAAATAAACAAAAATTACTGTCGAAATACTCTCCACAATGTTCAATTCGCATGGATTGAAGTGGGATTCTAGGAGGTGGTTGAATACAATTAAATGTGTGAAATATAGCAGTTAATGGTCGTGGGAATATTTGTCACGCATTTCAAAAGATACCAACATTAAAACTTCACGAGGATTGACGTATGAGTTGACAAACAAAATCAAAATAAAATTAATGCATGCAAACCTACTGCTAATTACTGCCATTGCTTTCAATGAGAACTTTGAACCCACCAAACAAGAGCTGTACGCATGAACAATTAACATTTAGCTCTCATTTGTGTGTACATGTAAATGGATGTTGATGATGTAAATATTGTTGACACTCAGTAAATTGTTGATTTAGAAATTGACTTTAAAAAAAAGACAGACGATGTAAGAAGTGTTTAGCGGAAGTCTTCTAATATTCAAATCGATCGAATAGTACTAACATTGTGGAATTCTCGAGTTTGAGAATTTTAGTTCATCCATGGAAAGATGGAGAAGAGAATTAGCAGAGAAAGGAGTAAAAACACAAAGATGAGGAATGAGTCTGTAATCTTATTCCTTGAATTTAAATGAATACATTTTGCATCGTATATAAAGGGAAAATTACATATACCAGTTTTGAACAAACCATTAACAACTTTAACTATCTATCAACAATCATTTCAACAGATTTAACCATCCAGCTGAATTTGTCTAGCTGTCCTAACTGAAATTAACTACCATGCTAGCTAGGAGGTGGAATCAGCTACTTATTGCGGCATCATCAGCTGCTGTTGCATCATCTATGTCATGAGATCCCTCCCCCAAGAGGGGCATGGATGTTCAAGATGCCCATCTTGGAAGTATGTCTGTGAAACAAGGCAAAACCAAGGGGTTTGGTTAGGATATCTGCTACCTGATGTTGAGTAGGAACATGGATGATCTTAATGAGGCCAGATTGTAGTTTCTCATGAACAGGGTGGCAATCAATTTGAATATTTTTGATTCTTCCGTGTTGGACAGGGTTGGAAGCAATGGATAGAGCATATTTGCTATCGGTATACAAGAGTGCAGGTTGAGAATGGTGAACAGCCAAGTCTTTTAAAAGAAAAACAAGCTACTAAAGTTCACATGTTGTAGAAGCTAAGGCCCTATATTTAGCTTCAGCAGACGATCGACTGACCGTAGGTTGTTTCTTGGATTTCTAGGAAATTAAGAACTCTCCAATAAACACAGAGAAACCAGTAACGCTTCGCCTAGTGTCAAGGCAACCAGCCCAATCACTATCACTGTAAGCTTTGAGATGTAAATCAGAATTTGTGGGATAGAATAATCCCTGGCCGGGGGTAGCTTTAGTGTATCTGAAAACCCTGTGAGCTGAATCCAAATGTGATTGAGCAGGTTTAGACATAAACTGACTAAGCACCTGGGCGGAATAGGCCGAGTCAGGTGTAGTGATGGTGAGATAAATCAATCTGCAAATGAGACGTCTATAAGTGGAGGGATCAGATAATAGTTTAGACTCCTCTGCCTTCAGTTTGAGAGTAGACTCCATTGGAAAAGATACTGGTTCGCAGCATGAAAAACTCGAATCCTCTAAAATATCTAAGGCATATTTTCTTTGGCAAAGGCTGATGCCAGATTTTGGTCGTGCAATCTCCAGACCAAGCATACATTTCACTTCACCTAAGTCCTTGATTGTGAATTGATCATCCAGAAACTTCTTTAGAAACTAGATTTCATAAAGGCTATTGCTGGCAAGTAATACATCATCAACATAGATCAAAAGAACCATGAATGAAGTGGTTTTGGTTCGAATGAATAGGGAGGAATCAAACTAGGATTGTTGAAAACCGTATGATAGAAGGCTGGTGGTTAATTTTGCAAACCATTGGCGAGAAGCTTGTTTAAGGCCAAACATGCTCTTATTTAATTTGCAAACTAATGAAGAGTCTTGTGTGGGATAACCCTGAGGCAATTTCATATAGACTTCTTTATGTAAGTCTCCATGTAAAAAGGCATTGTTGACATCTAACTGGCGTAAGAACCAGCCATTTGTTGATGCAATAGCCAAAAGAATCTGAATAGAAGTGAGTTTGGCAACAGGGGAAAAAGTGTCAAAGAAATCGAGACCTTCCTGTTGGGTATATCCTTTAGCAACCAACCGGACTTTATACCTTTCCACAGTCCCATCCGCTTTGAATTTTACTTTATAAACCCATTTGCAACCAATGATATGTTTGTCGTGTGGGAGTTTCATTTCTAATGTCTTTTCAAGAGCTATGATTTCTACATTCATTGCTTCCTGCCAAAGTGGAAACTTGATGGCTTGGACATAATATTTTGGTTCAAAAACATTAGAAATGGATGTAGTAAAAGCTTTATGTGAGGGGGCTAAACGATTTGTGGAAAGAAAATGGGAAATGGGATAAGGTTTACCAGAAGGACTGGGAATAAGAGAGTGTATAAGAGGACTAAAAACTGGATTGTTTGGTAATGACATTTGTGCAGAATGATCAGAACTAGTACCATCAGGGAGTATTTCTGATCTGAGAGGAGTAGGAATGATGTTAGGTGCTGGTGATTGGGTTGTTTGAGGTGATGAATGATGCACAGGTTCAGGTATGGAAAATAAAGGTTGGTTTGTAGGTGACTGAGGTGACAAATTTTGCTTGTAGGGAAAAGAACCTTCATGAAAAATTACATTCCGACTAATAAAGGCCTTTTGAGTTTGGAGATCATATACTTTGTAACCTTTGTGTCCAAGGGGGTATCCAAGAAATACACACTTGGATGCACGAGGTGAAAATTTTTTTCTAT